CCATGCAGCACTAAACGCTCCTAAAACACCCTTATGGCACCCTGTAAAAATCTAAAGACGAATCTCCTGACGACGCCCCTATAGCATCCTTTAAAGAATCTAGATACGAAACTCCTTATATGAGACCATCCTTTGGACATCTAGACACGAAGCTCCTAAAGACACCCTTCAAGCATCCTTCAACCATCTAGAGACGAAGATCCTAAAGAGACCTTTATAGGCTTATAGCATCCTTTAACATCTAGAGACGAAACTCCTACAGACACCCGCATAGCATCCTTTACAATTCTAGAGACTGCTGTCTCGAATTCTAAACCTACTATAGGAATTATAGTCTACTGGGCCCCCGAACCTTATTCTAACTGTTAAGGCCCCTACATTAGAGACTGTACCCTGAAACCAAAACTCTGAACTCTACGCCGCTAAACCCTAAACCCCGAAACCCTAAACCCCGAAACCCTAACCCCTAAACCTCGAAACCCTAAACTCTAAACCCCTAAACCGTAAATCCTAAACTAGGACCCCTTGGGTTGTCTCGAACTCCGAGTCCAAGCGTAAAAGGAGGGACCCTTAATAAGGACCCCTAGGTATAGACTCCTAATAAAGCTGTTATATACCCATGATATAGCCCATTATGGGGTAGGGGTCCCCATCAAGGGTCCCTGATTTCCCTAAACCCTAAACCCTAAACCCTAAAGCCTCAACCCTAAACCCTAAGCCCTAAACCCTCAACCCTGAACCCTAAACCCTGATTTCCCCTTTAACTGAGGCTCTGCTCAAGGAGGCGTCGCAAAGCTCCCTGGAAGCCTTGGCATCGACCTCGGGGTGCTCTGAAGGATAAAGCCATATGCTAGGATGCCCAGTAGTACCCTTATTCCTTTTTTGTAGTCCTAGGTTCCTTATATAGTTACCCAATACCAAAAAGAGAGGCCTTTTAATTCTTAGGTTACTGGGTATCCTAGAAGCCATATGGGTGGTTGTCAAAATTAGGGTCCCTTTTGGGGTCCCTATTATAATACGGTACCTTAAATCTAGGGTACCCAAAAAGGGACTATATTTGTGACAACTACCCATATCGGAGTTTCCGAAAAATTAGGGATACCTTGTTTTTGGGTTCTGATCATAAGGATCCTAGTAGTTACGGGTGCTCTGAAGGCTTCAGATTTTAGGGTTTAGCAAGGTTTGGGGCGCAAGGTTTGGGGTTTATGGATTGGTTTCGTGGTTTATGGATTGGTTTAGGGTTTGGGGGTGGTGTGTGGAGTAAGGATTTGAAGTTCCGAGTTGCGGGTTTGGGCCTGTAGGACTTACCTAGAGGCTCATACCCTACCCCCTTTTTTGGGGGCGCCTACTTTTTGGGGCAACAGATCCTAACCGTAAAACTAGGTATCCTAAAAACGGGGTACGGTAGGAGCCTCTAGGGTATTTATGCGGTGAAGGAGCTGTGGCTTCCTGTACCCAGGCCTTCCAAAAAATTAGGGGTACCTTATTTTGGGGTTCCTTACGTATGGATCCTACTATTTAGGGTACCATAGTAGGCCCTGCCCCCCATTTTCGGAAACTCCCATATCGCTTGAGCAAAGAACAAAACCATGTTAGAGATCCCACTATGACTTGAAATCTATTCCTTGATTAGGGGATAAACCCATATTAGGAATCCCACTATAACTTAAAACATTCCTTAATTAAGGGATAAAGCCATATTAGGGGTCCCACTATTACGTAAAATCTATTCCTTAATTGAGGGATATTGGAAGGTCTGGGTAACACCACAGATCCACCAGCCAGTAAGAATCTCGGGGCTCTATGGTGCTCCTTTTCGGGCTTAGGGTTTAGGGCTTAAGGTTGAGGGTTGAGGGTTTACGGTTGAGGGTTTAGGGCTTAAGGTTGAGGGTTGACGGTGTAGGATGTGAGGTGAAAGGCTCAAACTGAGGGGTCGAAGGCTGAGACTTTTCTTGCATACAACCTAAACCCTCGGCACTAAACCCAAAACGTGAAATCTCCAGACCCCAGGCCCTACGGTTGATGATAGAAATCCTGCATTACCTTAAGGACCCTAACTATGGGAATTATGGTATATTCCTTATTATGGGTCAGCAGGATTTATATCATCAACCGTATAGTAGTAGCACGCTAAGCCTTCAACTAAATCGACCTCACCTGATCCCTAAACCCCTGCACCCTACTTGGAGGTTCATGGGTAGTTATAAGTAGGGTTATCCCCTAATTTGGGTTATAGTTATATGTATAGTTATCCTGTTTATAACCCACATATCACTACCCATGGTCCTCCAAGTACAGCCCACACCCTAATCAACCTAAGCCCCAAACCTATTGAGGCCAGCCTCTTGACAATCACCGGCAAGGACGCTACCGTCGGGATGCGGGATTCTAAGGCAATTCAAAAGTCCGGTTTTGAGGGAGGGTTAGAGTAAAGGTAGCTCTTTTGTGTCTCTGTGCTGTATCGCTTGTTAAATGGATCGATAGGCATATACTTCTGATCCACCGTCTTTGCGTACACACCTCTGCATCGCAAGCCCCAATATACGGGGTGGGCTAGATTGGAGTGGGCTGGATATTACTTAGATGAGGGGTCTGTCATACTATGTATTGCAGAATAAACACCTGATCAGGGACAGAGAGGGACTATGATAGGATACCGCTACGAACGATTTCGCCATGTATACTACTGTTGATGGACGAAATCCTGCATAACCCCAAGGACTCTAAACTATGGGAACTATGGTATATTCCTTATAATGGGTCATGCAGGATGTTGTCCATCAGCAGTATTAAACGAGCCTTTCAAGGATTGGCGATGCATCTGATAATGCCTCTGGGCCTTAGGGTCAGGGTACAGGTAGAATAGAAGGATCGGTAGGTAGATACTGCTGATAAACCGTCCCAGAGCCTCCAAAACCCCTTAATTCAGGAATATACCTTAAAGTATAGTGGGATCCATAATACGATTTAAGGTATATTCCTTAATTAAGGGGTTTTGGAGGCTCTGGGGTCTTTGTGTACCCACCTTTGCAAGGGTAAGCTGTAGCGTCGGGGCCGTGATTTTTGTTGAACAGGGTTTTGGCGTACAACATATTATGTTTTTCTGTCGCATAAGGGATCATAAGGGGGATAGCGTCACGAATTGTTCCTACCGGCATATTGTGTTAGTTAAATTAGCTGAGCCAACCAAGGATTGGCGAAGAGAGAGCATCTGATAACGATTCAGACTCTGGACTTATGACCTGAGCCCTAAACCTAAACTCTATGAACCCTGGCCACTCTAGTACCTTTTTGATTTTATACAGCCTAAACTAAACTCTGTATCCGAAACCCTAAACTCTGTAATTGAAACATGAGAATCTACACTCCGAGCCGTAGATTCGAAACGAATTTGGGGCGCGAGGAGTTTGATCTTCCGACGTGGCAGCCGGGATCCTACCAGGGAGTTTCAGGAAATCGGTCGCCTTCGCGTAGTTTACAATTTAAGCTTTGAACCTTAGGGTTCAGAGTTGGGAGTCTAGGGTGTAGGATTTTGAATTTGGGGTTTAGGGTTTAGGATTTCGGGTTTATGGTTCAGGGTTTAGGATCGTGGTTCCGGGGTTTTAGGGTTTGGGGGGGTTTGGGTCTTCATGGGGTTCGGTATCCCAAAGGGTCTTATGTACTGTTATGGGGGATACTTCCTCAAATCATAATAATCATTCCTCATATACCCAGAGCCTCCAAAACCCCTTAATTCAGGAATATACCTTAAAGTATAGTAGGATCCATAATACGGTTTAGGGTATATTCCTTAATTAAGGGGTTTTGGAGTCTCATGGTAGAAAGCCTACATCCTACTATTTTCTGTACTTTGGACCCTTCGGGTATGGAGGCATCGAGTCGACCACAAACACATAATTCCAACGGATTACCGTAACGGTCCAAGTATCTAGTCACATACCCAGAGCCTCCAAAACCCCTTAATTAAGGAATATACCTTAAATTATAAGAGGATCCCGTATATGATTTAAGGTATATTCCTTAATTAAGGGGTTTTGGAGTCTCTGGGTAACGGACCAAGTATCTAATCACATACTCTCTGGCATGCCAACCCCGAACTCGTAAACCCTAACATGGCGTGCAGTTTCCTATAAACGTGGCTTTCCGGAGTTTAGGTGTCGAAGGTGCCTCCGACATCTGCCCAGGGGATCAGGCCTGAAGTGAGAGAGGGTTCTGTAGGATAAGTTGTTAAAGCATAGTCTACAAGTATAACTGGTACTGTATTCTCCAAGCCTAAACCCGAAGACTTAAGCCACAAAAGCTTGAACAGTCATGGAGACATTAAAGCACCTGTAGGCCACGGGAACATCTGTGGTATCCGACGCTTGGATGGCTCGAGGGTTCGGCAAACCACAGACCGTAAAGCCTTAAGGGTCCAAGTATCCCGAACCTGGCATAGGAGCCTTTTAGGCTTTTGTTTAGGGTTTAGGGTTTAGGGTTTAAGGTTTAGGGTTTAGGGTTTAGGGTTTAAGGTTTAGGGTTTAGGGTTTTTTAGGCTTTTGTTTATACTAGGTGTGTTGTAGACGGCGCTTAATAAAGTTTGAAGGGTCCAAGGACCCCGCAGTTAGGTACTTTGGTTCAGAATTGGGGTATTCCTAGCTGAGTATTTCCCCCAAGCGAACTGTCCTACCAAAGTCAAACCCCAAACCCCTAAACCCTAAACCGCTAACCCCTAAACCCCTGAACCCTAAACCCCAAACACTCAAAATTCCTAAGCCCTAAACCTTTAAAGCCCTAAACCCTAAACCAAAAAAGCCCTAAAGACCAAACCTAGAGCCGAAAAGCCTTCAACCCCAATCTGGGGACCCTGACGGCTTTAGTTCGGTTTTGCTCACAGACCTTGGTGTTCTTCTGGTTAGCTCTTAGGACTTTAACTTCTTGTCCTTCTATATGAACTGTAGTAAGGAGGCGAAAAGTTTAACTTTTAGGAGGGGTTCAGAAGTCAGCCAAGAGACTGTGGGATGGCTTCCTTTTTACCACAAAAGCCTTCAACGCCACCTCCGTCTTCCAAGGCACCTCGTCTGCATAGTGTCCAGGGATTAACGTTTATAAAGGGATTTACCTATAGTCTCCATTGTAGCTTTTTGGTTTCAGCAAATATATAATTAGGATCCTATAAGGTACCCCCAAAAAGGAACTACAATGGAGACTAGAGGTAGTGTTTAAAGGGTTTATGTAGGGCTTTGGAGTGTAGGCGGGGTCCACATCTGTCTTCCAAGGATGCCCAGTAGTACCCTTATTCCCTTTTTGCAGTCCTAGGTTCCTTATAAAGTTACCCAATACCAAAAAGAGAGGCCTTTCTATTCTTAGGTTACTGGGTATCCTAGTATATTATGGTACCCTTATAGATCCCTTATAGTACCCTTTTAAAGGACCCCTTATAGATCCCTTTAAGGAACCCTTACTTAGGTTACTGGGTATCCTAGCTTCCAAGGCGCCTCGTCGACAGATGATTCGTTCTACCTCCTCGGCCTCTCCGCTGCAGTGCGGCATGAGTTCCAAGACCGGTCGGACCGGTCCCGTCGTTACTTAGGGGTACTTAGAACTGATTTTTATTTTTTTGGCTATTATAATCCCTAAGAAACGGCTGAAATTATAATTTTTGCTGGGGTTCTAAGTTCAGTATAGGTTATGGTGGACGTTCCAGAGTCTTCGACGAGCCCATCTGCATCCATCAGCATGCTGTCACAAGTTACATCGGATTCGCAAGAAAGCAGGGTGCACTTCGAGGAATCTCCGGAGATCATTTTGTTCCTGAGTGCTGACGAGGGCTTGCCCGACCTTCCTGCGGTTACTGAGGAGGATGAGCGCGCACATTCAGACGAGACTAGGTTTTCCCAGACCAAGGACCCATTTCGCCATCTGATTTCGGTGAGTTTGAGGGTTTGGGTTTGGGGTTTATGGGCTTGTATCAAGGCTCGACAATACAAGGCTGCCCTAAACCCTAAAGCCTAAACCATAAACCCTAAATATACCTTGTTCTGAAGCGTATACTCGAGACTTAGGAGGTGGATCAGCCAAGCTCCTCGACGACGGCCCCCGCGCAGAGGGGCGCCACTACGTTGGCAGCGCCAGATCTACCACCAGCCCCGCATGACTTGTGCAAACTGGGCTCTTGTTAAGGCATTTATAATTATAGTTTAAGGTACCATAATAGCGGCATATAAGGGTTCCTGTAAGGGACAGGGATCTATAGGGGTTTTCTGTAAGGGTGTAGGGTTTAAAGTAACTGGGTTCTTGCTAAGGAGCCCCAAGGCTCCACATACCCAGATAGTATATACTTAGGCTGTAAAGTACCTATATAGGGACCCTTTAAGGCTTAAGTATCTACTATAAGGGTACATAGAGCCTTTGGGCTAAGGAGTTGAGTTTAAGTTACCATAATAGGGTACCGGGTTCTATAGTAAATTACCTGGCTTCATCTATTTTGCCATAGTAAGGAAACCATACTATTTACTATAGACCCCTATTACTTACTTAGCCTATTGGAGAACTTTAAACTTTTTGGCTTTACATATTTGGTCTAGCTTGGAAAGTTTGAACTTTGTTTGGGCTTGGTTATTGGAGAAGAGAGATAAGGAAACCATACTATTTACTATAGAGCCCTATTATGGTAACTTACATTAACTTCCCAAACAAGAACCCAGGCAAAGGAGGCCTGGCAGACCTCGCTGCAGCCGCTTGGCCATGACAAGGTTGACTTTTACCTATAGGGTAGCTGTAGGGTGTAGGGCTTAGGATAGTATAGGGTTCAGGTTTAGGGTAGTATAGGGTGTAGGTTGAGGGTAGTATAGGGTTTAGGGTACAGGATAGTATACTCAATACTCCAGCACCCTTTGCTACTTCTCGGAGGCCTTTGCTCTGCGTAATGGCTTAGATAGTGAACGGGGGAACTTTAACTTTTTGGCCTTATACAGTAGCTCTATCTTAGAAAGTTGCAACTTGTTGGAGCCCGGTTGTTGAAGAAGAGAGATAGAGGGACACAACCCCCGCAAACCGAGGAGAGGCGTGCCGCCATGCTGAGGAAGCTCTTCCCGCCTCAGGACCTAAGTGAGCCCTGAAAGGTAAGGGAAGACCTGCACCACACTAGCATGAAGAGTGCGTCCCTATAACATTGCATGATCTTAGCAACGGTCTCTTGAGCAGAAAATGCTCAACATGTTCGTGCGAGCAACACTTTTTATGGCGCGGTTTAGATGTTCGCTGAAACCGCACAGTACATATAATTTTTTAAGCAGAGATGCTTGCCAAGCTCCCATATGCTGCCATGGCTTTCTTTGCCTTCAGCTGGTGTCTGAGCGTATGCTTCTCGAACCCTAAGCCTTAAACTTACTCACAGAAAGCCTCGAACTGCAAGACCTGAGGCCCTGAGCCCACATCCTCAGCTGTGACACCTCCGGCTTTACTGTGTTTCCCGAAGGCTCCATGTACCCATGTCGTATTTATGTAGAGACCCCTTTAAGGCTCAAGTATCTACTATATGGGTACATGGAGCCTTTGGGTTTTCCGCGACAACGAGCGCGAGCAGACGGCTTGCGTACCTTCGCTCAGTGTCCTGTGCGGTCCTTGTCTGATACAGGCCTGTCTTTGGCATACCCAAAGGGTCCAAGTACATTATATAGTGGGTTAGTACGTAGGTATGTGGACCCCCCAAAGTATATACTGTGCTAGTACTTGAAGACTTTGGGTTTCCCAAAGGGTCCAAAGTACCTATGTAGTAGAATGTAGGGTCTCTATATTGGAAATTACTACTATGATTTGGGGAAGTATTCCCCATAACAGTATCTAGGACCCTTTGGGGATATGAGTGGCCCTTTCAGCTTTTCCGTCGCCATCAAAGCGTGAAGGAAGGAGCTGCAGGCTACCGAAGATGCAGAGCCCCACAGGGTCCACCGGGAGTTTCCGAAAATTTGGGGGTTACCTTATTTCGGGGGCCCTTTAAGGATCCTACTATTTGGGTACTATATTAGGGTCCCCTATTTCCGGAAACTCCCATATACACTACGGTTATGGAATTAGGTCCCAAGAGACCATGCCTATTATGGTTTTGGGGACCAAATTCCGTCATGGTAGTGTGTATCGACCCTCTGGGAACGACAGACGCGGATTCGGGCTCCCGATGTGACGGGTCTAACAGCGGTTCACCATCCGGGAAACTTCTGCCCTCTTACCACATGCCAGATCATTAATCCCCAAGGGTCCAAAGGACCCAATAATTAGGTACCGGGTTTTAGGGTAGTAGTTATGCAGGTTAGGATTTCGGAGAGTATATGATTATTGAGTACTTGGACCCTTGGGGAATGTGCTATGACTCCTTAGGGTTCAAGGTTTAGGGGTTCATGCTGGGTCATTTCCCTATGCGAACGCCGTCAACTCCGCTGCAAAAGCCCTTGTTTCACCAGGCCATGCCAATGGGTATGCGGCTCCACGGTATAGGTGGAGGCTTCTTTCTCCCAGGCTGCTGGTGATGAAAGCACCAGTACAGGTCGGAGCACGTGGTTTTAAGAGGTCATGCACTTCCCGCATCAAGTTCGCCCTATGCCGGGACAACCTCTTTGTCTACCGGAAATCGCCAGAAAGAGCCCCATCACTATTTGGCCGCATGGACCCTTATTTTGGTTCATGTTCAATTATGCTGTTACAATTTCAGGTATTGTCCGTAATTAAAGGTTTTTGAAAGGTCAGAGAGTGCGGATTCAGCATATGTTTTCTTTTTTTCAGGAGGAAGTTGGCTGCTTCAGAGACCCACAGGGCGCAAGGAATAGTAATCGTATAGTCTTGGTACATACTTTTGGTGCCCAAATATCTATTAAGTGGCTTCTGTATTGGTACTCGGACTATTCGGGAGATATTGCAGGGGCAGTGTCTTGTGCGATTGTGAACCGCCACGGCAGCAAAACCCGAATTACGCCTCCCCGTCAAAAAAATACCAAGTATTCACAGGAACACTTGTAAACAATCATGGAGCTCCCCTTGCACCTCCCTGAACCGTCGAAAACCCGAAGATACTCTGGTTTCCTAAGCTAATTACGAGAGTTGCCGCCGAAAGCCCCGCCAAGACCTTGCACTGTGATAGCAGCTGTTTTATTCTATACTTTGTTGTTATTACCCCCTAGAACTACAGAGAAAATCATGATCCAAAACCTCATATGTACCGTGAGCCCACGTGCATAGCCCTTAGCTCGCCCAATTCCAGGACTTCCGGATACGACTCGATCGGAATTCTCCCTTGGCTTCTCCCCCTCCCTGACACAAACCCCAACGGTCCAGGACGCTTCGACCCTAAACCCTAAACCCTTCCATGAAGTCATGCTCCGGCTGTCCTCGTCGGACTTGCCTTCATCATCCTCGCCAATGCAGCTCACGCGTTCCTTTCCATCGATGCCTGTCTCTCTGTCTTGGACTGTGCTCGTCCCATAGTGGCCTAAACCCTAAACCCTGTGCCACCGCAAAACCCTATTGTTGGTACCTCCTGCAGGTTGTTCGCTTCGGGTTGAGTCCACCAGCCTACGGTAAGCTCGACTTTTCAGTAGAAGCCTGAGTAGTAGTTTCGCATAACAGCTCTTCACGATGGTTCCTTACCATACTTCCTTTACTATATATACATACACATATATATATATACACATACGTACATTTTTTAAGTATACTAATACAATCAACATTTCACAACCCTATTCTGACAACACAACCTCCCAAATTACCGCTATTGCTTCTGCTTCGACAGAATGCCGCGCGCATGTATAGAAGCAAGCATTAGCTACCATTAGCTAATTTTTCAAGTCAGCGGCTCGACACAATGCCAATGTGTGTCTGATATTTTAGGAGGGGGTAGGGCTCTATCACACAGTACATTGGTGAATTAGCGTACCGATCTGCATCCAGGAACCCCTCCACGGCCAAATTATATCTCAAATTATACATACACTGGTAGATGTAATACTGGCGCCTTAGTCATGAGAATAGGGTTTTAGGGTCCCACTATACTCTGATTATAATTAGGGACCCCCACAATAATATTGTTAATTGTTTAGTCTCCTATCCCAGAGAGTCCATATACGCTACCATCGTGGAATTAGGTACCGAAAGACGTAACAGGGCTTTCGGTACCTAATTCCATAATAGTAGCGTATATATGGACCCTCTGGGTAAATTACCATTCTAGCGCTGCACCGCGGGGAGGTGTCGACGGTGCCACCCAAGACTCCGAGATCTGCCCAGACGATCGACCCTGGGTTACCCAAAGGGTCCATGTACCCAAATAGGGTTGCTTTAAGGGTACCATAAGGGCTCCTTTAAGGGATCCTTAATGGTTCTGTAATAGTATATACATAGGCCTTAAAGTAGTCCCTATGGAGGTACTTTGGAGCCAAAGTATAGACTAGTTGGGTACATGGACCCTGAGTATGGGTTATAGGGGTCTTAGGATGATACGGTTGAGCAGAGGCTTTAGTCCAAGGGTATCTTGGACTCGCAAACTCTAAACCCTAAACCCCCAAACTCTAAACCCTAAACCCCTAAACCCTAAACCGCCATCAAACCCTAAACTGACAAACCTTGGGAACACCGCTGCCGATACCGTCAAGGGCGGGCTCTCGACTGCGGCAGGGCTTTTTGCCGGGTTTGATGGGGTACTTCCCCAGAGGGTCCATGCACACTACCATTGTGGAATTAGGTCCCCGAAACCATAATAAGGGTCTTTTGGGACTTAATCCCATCATAAGTAGTGTATCTGGGCTCTCTGGGTTCCCCAATGATTACGTCCTTTGGTTAGGGTAGGAGTACTTGTAGCTGTAGCTATCCCTAGACCGTGAACCCTAGAAGCCCTGCCCATGCATATAGGGGGGAAGGATTGAACGTTGTCGAGACTTCGGCATGGCTGTCCTGCTGCCACAGAAGCCTTCAACGCCACCTCCCTCTTCCAAGGCGCTTCCTCTGCATATGGCGTAGGGCTTGAAATTTAGGAATTTAGGATTCACGGAGTTTAGAGCCTGGGTGGGATTTAGAGTTTAGGCGGGACTTAGGGCTTAAAGTTTAGGAGTTGATAGGGTTTGGGGCTTTCCTACGGAACCTTCTGATACATAATTTTAGGTCTTTGGGTAATTTTTGGTTTCCGGGCGAGATGGCGGAAACGTGAAGCCGACTGCGTTTCTTGCTTAAACAGGGTTCTGGTAGTGTTTTACGGTTATGAATTATAGCGTTTCTTGTTTGGAACGATAGCGTTTCTTGTTCGGAGTGAGTGCGTTTCTTGTATGGACCATTGCCCGCTGGGAGCTGGCTCTGCACCTCATGCAGGTGTGTACTAACCTCAACTGTGCATGGCTTAGGCCAGCGTGTGTAGCAACCTCTGCATGGATCCTGCAGAATATCGTGGAGGATTTCCCGCATGTGTTGTGCATATATGTCATATAACCTGAGAACTGCACATAGAATTTTCCACATGTGTTCTGCATGGGTTTAGTCCAGGTGCGCCCCCGCCTTTGCAATGCCTCTGTTGTTTGCTGCTGTGTACTTCATGTGCTGCAGGCTTGCACAGCTGAAACCTCTGTTTGGACCGATGTGCTCAAGAGTTCCAGCTTCAAGGTGTGAGTGTTTTGCGCCGTTCTTTTGGAGCTCATGGCTGCTTCTTGTATGAGCAACTGCTCGGCAAGAGGGGTGACACTTGCCCATTCGGAAGGACTCTTCGTCATTCTTGCCTGATTGATCAGCTTTCTAGCCGGGGTTCTTGGCAATACGCAGGACTCATGCAGATGCCGAACAAGTTCTGGCACTCGTGCATTCGTGTCCTTTACTCCAGTCAGGACAGCAGATTTTGGTGTTTAAAGGATCGAAGCCCAAACCTTATAAAGCTCTAGAAAACCCTATATATACATATATGACCCTAAAATATAAAGCGACTCAAAAATATCAACGGGCTGAGGCTCTATGAAACACGACCCTAAAACCCTCAAAAGGGACTGTAAAATATCAACAGGGGCTGGGGCTCCGCTGTAAATGTTTTCTGTGTAATCAATCCTGCTACGGGGGCCGTATAGTCATTCGGGTTTATGGTTTTCCGTGGGCTCCGGATTTGTCGAGGAACTTCCATGTGCTGATGATGCTGTGGAGATGATTGTGCGCAATATCCGCCTCGGAGGGATCTGCCTACTCTTCAAACAGATCTTTTCCCAGAATGGTGATGTGGCAGTGTAGCCCTGAGCTGCTGAGCATTTCTTTTCGCATCTCGCATCGTGCAGCCGATGCATCCACGAATGATGTGCCTCACAAGGTTCGCTGATGGAGTTTGATGTTTGATGGGCAAGCTTGGTACTCTCTTGCAGAAGCTAGCAGCTAACCGTAGGTAGATCGACATGCCGGGCTTACCTGGGGGACACAAGGCAGCCGGTGCCAGATCTGCAGCTTTGAAAAGCGAGTTATCTATACTGCTGCCACCCTATATGAGATCTTACGAGAATATTTTTCCAAGCAGCTCTACTCCCCTCGCAGGCATTGGTTTTGGGCTTCGGTCCATTTTGGAATCGCTTCGGCACTGAACCCTCGACGGAGGCAAGCACATGTAAACAGTTTCCGGCACATAAATCATCAGTTCCCAATGAGACTTCCCTGCCCAGGCCTGTGGCTACGAGCTGGTGCGGCGCTGCACCGAACCTTCGGTCAAGGAACCCATGGATGCTTGTGTACTCGTAAAAATAGAAGCCGCCATCCATGCATGGTTGTCTGTACCCGTGAATGCACTTCGATGTTCTGTAAACAAGCAAGCTGCAGCAGTTTCTAAATCCTCTCTATATAGCACCAACCTTGGTCAGGACTCCTGCCCTGTGAGTACGACACCGATCCCAAAATCTTCCAAGAAGGCCAGCGCCATGCAAATACACATGTACACATGTATGCATGTATGTTATGTATGCAGACTGTGCCGGACCCTGTGGCAGGCCGTGGGTCGTGGCTTTGCTTTTGGTGTGTGTGGTGTCTCGGATGCATGCAGATACTGTGAGATAAAGTCGTTTGTGGTTTTGACAATCGATCAGGCTGGGTGGCCTTGGTGCTGGCAGCTGCAGTTCTTCTTTGGACGGAGGTGTGCCCTCGGACGGAGGTGTGCCCTCGCATGTGTATGGGTGGGAAATTCAGATCTCATGTTGTTGTGCTGTTCGCTTTCTGTCTGCTGTGCATTACGACCTCCATCGAAGTGTTTGTCGCAGTCGGTTTTGGGCCAGAGTTGTGACCGGTGTGCTTGTACAGTGCAAAGTGCACATGGCTGAGCCTTTTGCTGAGCCTGCAGCGGAGCCGGGAATGGGCGAGGAGGAGGATGGAATCGAGGTGGTGTTGCCACCTGCAGGGCATCTTGCTGAAGCCTGGGACAAGGATCCGCTGATTAGGCGGCAGATGCGGGACGGCAAGAAGCTTTTGGCTTGGACCAGTCGAGTGACGATTGGTGCCGCAAACCAAGCATCCTTGGTTCTGAACAGAGCCGCCATTATGATCGTGATTGATGTCTGGGGCGACATTTGTCGAGAGCCTAAGTCTGTGCCCATCCGCTGGGTGAGGGAAGAGGTGTCTGGATTGAAAGTTTTCACCGTAATTTTGTGAGTGTCGTTCAGGTTTGTGAGTTCTATCTAGATTTGTCGAAGCCTGCAGGTGAAGCGGCTCCGCGAAATGTTCACGCCGCAGCCAGACCCGGTTGATGTGGTGGTAGACCAGTGGGGATGCAAGCGGTTAGTCAGCCTCGCTATCAGACGCTACCGTTCTGGCATCACTTCCTTCAGGGACTGCTGTTGCTGCTTCTGTGATCCGTGCTTGTGTTATCAAGCAAGTAAACATACATGTGCCTCTTCACATACCCTGCAAGGATGCAAGGATGCAGCCAATGATGGACCTGATGATCCAGAAATGGGGAGCAACTGGGGAGTTGCCTGTTGATGCAGGCCCAGCCCCTGCTGCTGCCGACGCAGGTGAAGATGCGCCGCCTGATGTTGGCGATGCTTTGATAGCCCCTCCACCTCCAGCAGCCTACCTGGTTCTTGCAGGCTTGGATTCCGATGATGAAGGTGGTCTGCCTTCAAACCGTTGCTTGGATGACTATCCTTTGTGTGAGGATGCAAGTGATACCGAAATGGCCGATGGAGCATTGGAGCTGGGGTCGGACCCCGCACAGGAGCCCAACCAGGTTCTGCAGTCGGTCCCAGACAAGGGTGATGGTACATTGCTCGGTGTCGACTCGGTCCCGGTCCCAGGTTCAACCTCATGTGAAGCCTCCTTGCCCGATCAGGTTGTGCAGTCGATCCCAGACAGGGGTGATGGTACATTGCTCGGTGCCCATTCGGTCCCAGAGAAAGCTTCTCCACAGGTTGTGCAGTCGGTCCCGGTGGCTATGGATGCTGTGGTGGCCAAGAACAATGCTGTCCAGGACAAGCTTGCTCGATTGCAAGCCATCCGGCTGCTTGTCGATATCATTATGAGGTTGTGTGCCAGTTGACATGTGTCACCGTTGCTGGCATGGATTGTTTTTTTAGCAACCACATGCAATCGTATAAGGGCTCGCCTCGCGGAGAAGCGAGCCTCGACTGGCTCGATTGGCCGGAACTCATGTGCCTTGTCTCGCAGATTGTGGTGCATGCTAGCAAACCATGTAGGCCATGCATGTGTGGACACACATATATGATTGGGCTTAGGCCGAGCTGGTGATCATGACCCTTCTCGAGTGGAGACGCAACCCTTCATCAATGCTGACCTCATTGCTGGCACGATGTCTAAGTGCCCTTCCTTTGTAGACCTGGACTCTCAGCCAGGAAGCACGCCGCACACGACAGCAGAGAAGCCAGCAGCCTTGGAAGATGTGGGAGCTGAATCCCCGGACCCACTTAGAAGGACCCTTTGCTTTGATAGCGCCGTGTCCAGTGTGTCACCCGAGACCCGGGGCAAGACCCAGCCTACTACAACAGAAGCCGCAGCAGAGCCTCCAGCAGAAGCCCTAGCAGAGCCGTCAGCAGAAGCCACCGCAGAGCCATCAAAGAAGTCAGCAGAAGCCCCCGCAGAGGCATCAAAGGAAGCCCCAGCAGCGCCGTCTCCAGAAGCCACAGCAGAGCTGTCAGCAGAAGCCCCAGCAGAGTCATCAGCAGAAGCCCCAGCAGATCCTGCAGCCCCAGCAATGAAGGCCGTTGACCATGTACCGTGCCGAGATGTGGAGCCTGACTCAGTGCTCGACTACAAGGCTGGCTTGGCTAAGTCACCTGTGTAAACCCGAGCAGATTGTAAATTAATGACATGCTGTATGTGTATTGCAACTCGCTTTGCATTGTCTCCCTGTACAGGGGGCCCCAGAAAGAACTGCCCAGTTCATCAAGAAGCACGTGGAGGGCGAGGAGGATCAGGATGACGAGGAGGATGCAGCTGAAACGTCGAAACCACAGCGAGGTCGTGGTAGAGGTGGCAAAGGCAGGGGCAGAGGTGGAAAAGGCCGGGGAAAGGCCCCTGCCAGCAACAGCAAAAACAAGAAGGGCAAGGGCAAGGGCAAGGGTAAGAAGCCAAATAAGAAGGAGCCTGCAGAGCCACTTGTAACTCCAGCAAAAAAAACAAAGGAGGCAGATCCTGAAAGCGGAGCAAAGCCGAGCCCGAAGCGAGGCAGGGCCCCATCCAGTGCAGCCAAAGCAGCAGCCAAGAAATCGAAGGTGGAGCCGGAGCCAGCCGAAGCGCCGCTGGAGCCAGCAGCAAAGCCTAAGCAGACTCCCAAAGCAAAGGCTTCCCCAAAGAAAGCAGCTGTTGCGAAGCCTGCCACCGCCAAACCTAAAGCAAAGGGTAAGGCAAAGGCTCAGGATGCGAGTGCAGATGGTGATTCTGCTGAGGGTGGCAAGGCTACCTTCGCTTCGAGGAACAAGCCTAAAGGTGGCAAGGCCCTCCTGCACTGGACGGCCATCCGGGATGCTTTCAACGACCACGTCCGAGATACGATTCTTACTCCGGGCAAACGGGAGGACACGCATGCAAAGTGTTTGTGATTCAAGCTTCAACTCTCATTATATAGCTGCTTGTGCTTGCAGGATCCTTTCTGGGCCATGGTCAAGCCGAAGCTTGCAGAGAAGCCGGGTGAGACCTACGAGGTATACTTTGCCATGGCTCTGGATTGTGTCGACCAGTTTCGGGCGAGCCTAGAGCAAGAGGGCTGAGAGGAGCTATGTACTTGCACGGCACCTGCTAGCATGCCTTCGTCGGGGCAGCTCTGGTTTCAATTTTCGATGCAGCTACACCTGCTTCAGAGAGCGGGTGCTGCTTCGGGGATCATGCAAACATGAAATGCCGATATTGCCTGAAGCCGACAATCCTGCTTCAAGGGTGCGACGCCATATTGAATGTCAGGTGAAAGTAACATATCTAGATCTAGACAGTTTTAGCCCGATCTCGAGCACTTCTCCTGTTTCAATGTCTGACATTTGATATATGGAAGCTCGCAAGTCAAGCATGGGGGTGAACCTCATGATGGGGCGAAGCACTCACGTGTCACAGGCCAGTGCAATACCCGGATACAAATGCAAACGCTGCCTTTGCAAGAGAACTGAGTGTGCTACCTTATAAGCCCAACATAGTGCCACCAAGATTCTTGCGCAGGTACTGATGAATCGCCGGCAGAACGTCGGTGCGCTTCTGCAGAGAGGCATCTCCTTTGGTGCGAGTCCAACCGGCCAGTTTTATGCTGATACGGGTGTGCCAAAGGTTTGATCATATCCGAGCTAGCATAGACACCGTAGTAGTGGGCTGGGTTTGGTATATATGTACGAGAGGCAGGCATGTACGGTTTCAGTACATCGACTAAACGGTGTAGGTTGATTGAAGAGATGAATATGGTTCTGCATGGGTTCTGGGTCCGGGGCTTTATAAGGGCTTGAGGTTGTGGTATATTTTATTTACATGTAGATAAAGCTTCTCCAGGTGAATTTAAGATTCGGGTTGTGGGTATTTATATATTCGGTTTACATATTGGGTTATATCTGGCTATATAATATGTGGGCTTCAGGTTGTAGGATATGTAAGGTTATTATAAGATACGGGGTTATATAGGGTATTTATACATTCGGGATTTACATTGGGTTTGTGCGGGGGTTCACGGGCTTGTATAGTGGGGACACTTAATTACTCGATTTATTTGGTTTATGCTGCTGCACCATGAGGTGTTTGATGCACTGTGTTGTAGTCTGGACAGACCACATTGATCGACACTTTCAGTCAATTTGATGCTCCTGCAGTGTTACTCGAAATCGAAGGCTCCGGGCTTCGCTGAAGCAAGCAAACTGGGCTTTCATACCATGAATCCTCGAAGCTGCTGTCTGTCAGCACCCTATATATCCCAAACCTACTCCACATAGACCTATATACAGCCCATATATATGTAAACCTTATGTAATGAACCTTCTATATAGGTTTATGTAAATTAGGGGTTTCGGGGTGCTATATGTATCCATACACATGTCAGGCTACGCTCGGTTTATCCTATACGGGGAACTACTTGGAGGGTCGGGGGACTTATATAGTAACTGGTTATGTTATATAGGGATTCTTATAAGTACCATGAGCCCCAATTATGGTCCCCTTTAAGGGTACTTATATAAGTATACTTACTATACCTGCTTACTAAGTCCCCGGACACTCCAAAGATATAGCGGGTGATCGATTTCGCTTTGTTTTGCTGAATCGGTTTCGATCAGCCTCGGCCAGCAATGCTGACTGCAGAAGCCGTGGAAGTTGCTGCCAGACGCTTGATGGCCCTCAATGCTCCGAAAGTGGCATGATCAAGTTTATTCATTATATTCATTCGCAATTCAGACTGGCATGTGGTGCTACTCTATATAGTAGTATAGTAGTATAGTAGTACAGTATGGTGCTATATAGTACTAGTATAGTAGTAACTATAGTAGTAGTAGTAGTAGTAGTAGTAGTAGTAGTAGTAGTAGTAGTAGTAGTAGTAGTAGTAGTAGTAGTAGTAGTAGTAGTAGTAGTAGTAGTAGTAGTAGTAGTAGTAGTAGTAGTAGTAGTAGTAGTAGTAGTAGTAGTAGTAGTAGTAGTAGTAGTAGTAGTAGTAGTAGTAGTAGTAGTAGTAGTAGTAGTAGTAGTAGTAGTAGTAGTAGTAGTAGTAGTAGTAGTAGTAGTAGTAGTAGTAGTAGTAGTAGTAGTAGTAGTAGTAGTAGTAGTATAGTCTATAGTAGTAGTTGTTGTTGTAGTGATAGTGAAGTATATAGTAGTATAGTGTAGTAGTGTAGTAGCATGCAGCAGTATTTGTCGTAGTAGTAGAAGCAGCAGCAGCGAACATGGCAGCAGCAGCAGCAATAGTAGTGTAGTACTTCATGGTGGGGTGCAGTGGTGGATGGGCCTCCCATGGAACTGTGTGCAGGTGGTGGTGTTGGCAGGTGGTGGTGATGGTAGGTGGCGGTGATGATATATAGACCCGCGAGCCCTAAAGAAGCCTCAAACTCATCAAGCTCCACGCATGGTCTACATTTACAGCATGCTGTGTGTATCAAAGCTTCGAAACCAAAAGCCGCAACCGGCTTCGAACCCAAATCTTGCACTATACAAGCCTTCACCCTGAACCCCCCTATAAACCCTATATAGCCCAGAAGCAACTTGCATTAAGACACATCCAAGGCATTCGTGGCCATCTTCTTGCTGGCATCGTGGATGGATCCAGCACAGATTGCCTTGCGACAGGCCGACATCATAGAGTATTTCGCAGGGACAGCAAAGATAGCACGGTTGGGTCGGGCAGCCGGGTGGAACGTACTAGCTCACGATATCCTCTTCGACAAACAGAAAAAGAGCAGCATGAACATGAACGGATCTGCTGGCTTTGCGCTACTAGGCTTGCGATCGGAGTCTTTCCGGGGATTCATGGGATCTATCCAAAATTCTATACAGGGTGTTTCGGCTGGAGGGGATGCCTATATTGTGTTTTATAGCAATGTCCAAGTAGACCCGGTACTCTTTGCAAGCAGCTACATGTGCGGTTTTTTGTTACAAGTGAGTTCGGTTTGTTGCCCAATACTACCCGAGCCTTCGGAAATGGTGGTTCTCTTTTGTGGGTCCTTAGATAAGTCCAGTCCTTAATTAGGTCGATGGGGCATTGTTTCCTTTGCTATACTACAGTACCATATATATATATATATATACCCTATATGCGCTATATACCAGTATACTACTATATATATATATATATATATATTTATATGGAACCACCACCACCACCACCACCACCACCACCACCACCACTACTACTACTTAGTAGTAGTAGTAGTAGTAGTAGTAGTAGTAGTAGTAGTAGTAGTAGTAGTAGTAGTAGTACTACTACTACTACACTGATCCCAAGTCTTGGCAGCCCAGGCTCGCCGTCTACATGCTGCTTTGTGCAAATCCAGAGGGAGCTGCGGTGTTCCTGGGGATCGAGTGTTCGACTTATGTCTTGATCAATCGGGGCACTTCCAAGAGAAGCCCGTTGGTACCTATGGGCGATCGCTGTTTGACGAGTGTCGCACAATCGAACATGTTCACAAGCAGGCCGGATTCATGGTATGCCATGACTTCTATACGTGTTTCAGTTTCATGTAAACACATCGATAGCTTGTTGCCGGTCTATGTGTGCAGGGCGATCCTCCTCATGTTGGCGGCTCACCTAGTGAATGCCGTCTGGATTGTGGAGCAACCTGCAAGCTCCTTGCTGTACATGCATGATCGGTTTCAGTGGCTGTTACGAGCTTACCTTCGGCTTGGGATCCGGGCACCTTGTATGCAGCAGCCGCATGACTCATGTTAACTGTACGACTGATCTTGCAAGACAATCGCCCTGTTCAAAGAAAATTTCTGGATGAGAAAGTATGCTCATTGGGTACCGAAAAAAACAGTATGCTGGTCCAACTCTCCTATGATCCGATGCTTGAGGGCAGGCAAGCTTGCTAAGCATGAAAGAGGTGGCCAAAATGGTGTTCGGCATTCTCGCAACCGGCATGGGGTTCGTTGCTTTCAAGGAAGTCGAAAGCTAAAGGAGACCCAGTTCCCTGTCAGCAATGTAATCAGCAAGTCTGGTACATTCTCGTAAAACCCTTGTCCATGAACCCACGCAACACACCGCGAGGCGATATCCTGCAAAGTTTGCCCGAGCTCTCGTTGATTTGGTTCCTGCTCTCCGGCACGGTCCTGCTCGCTTGCAGCCGACTACGGAGGCCGGTGGGAGAGCCTTGCAAGTCATTTGGGCGGACAAGCAGAGGGAGGGGTGCTTCTTCATCACTAGGAAGCACTTCTTTATTCAACGACCGAGGGGTTACACTGGCCATTATATGATATGAATGGATGTATATACTGTTGTGCAGAATGAAATCAGCTTGTGCAGGCACTGCATCTCAATACCCCATTGGAAGATCTCTTCGGTGCTTATCCTTGGGAGAAATGGGGCGAGGCTGGCTTAGAGGAGTGCATGGTCTACCTACGATGCAGCACTTTGGTCACTGTGCCAAAAGCATTCAAACACTTGATTCCGAAGAGCCTCGCTCATTGCTGCAGCCTTTACAATTAGCTGCTTTTGAGCTTTCGCTTGCAGTGTGTAATTGAAGTTTGCAGATAATTAGCTGCAGCTGGGATCGAAGGCTTGCCGAAAAGGTCTGTCTACCACGGATGTCATGTGCTTGCTACTTTTGCAGAATGCACCTGGCAGCCCGAGTTCAGCAGCAACCAAGCCCTTGCATTGCCGAAGTTTGTGTTGAAATCCCTGAATCGGACCCCTACATTATGCCCAGGACACAATCTGCAAACAGCGTTTTTTGATTCGGATGGTCTCCAAGCACTGAAAACGAGATTGCGGAAACAGGCGTCCAAATGGCGGAAACTCGCGGCCAAATGGCGGAAACTAGCGGAATGGGGTCCCGCACCCCCCAAAACCGGCCCAGCCCGAGATTGCGGAAACAGGCGTCCAAATGGCGGAAACTCGCGGCCAAATGGCGGAAACTAGCGGAACGGCCCAAACCATCAACCCAGCACAGCGTTTCAGAGGGGGTTGGGGTGTGCTTGTGTCGGGTTTGGGGGTTCGGGGGTTGGGGGTTGGGGTTGGGGTTGGGGGGGTTGGGGGGCACCCCGCCTCCCCAAAAGCAGCTACAAGCTCCACTCGGGGGTTGGGGGTGGGGATGGGGGA